AGCACAGCACCCGCGTGTCCACCACGGCCAGAGTGCAGCACAGCACCCGCGTGTCCACCACGGCCAGAGTGCAGCACAGCACCCGCGTGTCCACCACGGTCAGCGGCACCCCAGCAGTGTCCAGGCACCCTGCGGGCCAGGGAAACCCAGCAAGGGGCACACACACAACAACCAACCCAACAGTCACACAGACACACCAAGCACACCCAATGGCCCCACAGACACACCAAGCACACCCAATGGTCCCACCTACATGCCAAGCCCCCCACACACATGCCAAGCACACCTAACAGTCCCACACATACAGCAAGCACACCCAATGGTCCCACAGACACACCAAGCACACCCAATGGTCCCACAGACACACCAAGCACACCCAATGGCCCCACAGACACGCCAAGCACACCCAAGGTCACTCCCTTCCTGCTGTCTCACAGCAGCCTAGAAATTTCTGTTGATAAATATTCCTGTTATCCATGAGGCATCAACTGGGAGCAATGACCTTACAAATGTCTTCACCCCTGAAGCCAGTGGTTTTCCAGCTGAACTCCCAAGTGCCTCAGCTCCCTGCCCAATGCTCTCAGCCATCTCCATCCCTAACTGTCCAATCTGGGCAGTTACAGGTAAGGAATCGATTCATGGCTACAAATGAGAAGGAGCTGAGCAGAGGCAAACAATGGACCCTGAAATCCCCTTTTCTCACCTGCACAGGTGGAATTCTGGACTCCCCAGAGGCACCTGCAGTGTGCAGAGCTGCAGATCCTTACCTTCAGAGGTGTCAGAGTCCTTCTGCTCCACAGTGCTGCTCTTGCTGTTGGCCGAGGGAGGAGGAGGCTGCTGCTCTGTCTCCTCCTCCGAGTCCACACTGCCATCGTGGTCTCCGTTCTCCAGGTCACTCTTGGATGAGCTCTCTGAGGTCTGGGAGGCTCCAAATCTGAATTGCAGAGCTCAGAGTGAGCTGAACCCTGGGGGCACTAGGTTCCTCCATCCCTCACCTGCCTCCTCCCTGCCCCAGAGGGAACAGCCTGGAGCTGCCCAGGGGGGACAGCTGCCTTTCCAGGGACACTCAGGAGGTTTAACCCCTTTTCAGGGGGATTCCCCCCAGAATCACAGCACTCTGAGGAGCCTCCACTAACACCCCTGAGTGCTTTGCCTGTCCAAATCCATCTGGAAGGTGCTGCAGTGCCAGATCCAGGGCTAAAGGCTGCTGGAGCACACAAAGCAGTGGGAAATGAGGAGGAGGTCCTGCTGTGGAATCCATTCCAGGACCACTGGGGAAGGAAACTTCAGGTTTGACTGTTCTCAGCCTCCTTTGATCCTATTTTCACACTTAGAAGTAACTTCATTTAGTACCTGGATGTCTCAAAGGGCTGAGGAAGGATTTGCAGAGCCAGAGGTGCCCATGGAGGTCTCTTGCTCATGCCAAACATCACCTCATTTGCCTTAATAACCTGAAAGACTTCTGCCCACTCCCCTCACCCTCACCTCCTCCTCCCCCTCTCCGCACCTGAGGAAAGGGACAAGCTCTAGGCATTTCACACCACAGGAAAGGAAGTTCTAGGCATTTCACACTGGTTTTATCAAAGACTCGTCATTAGGTGTCTCCATCACCGTGGAATTGCCTCCAATTGGATCTCTGACCCACATCCAAGCCAAACCCACACGAGTGTGGCCTGGAGAGCATGTGGGGCTCGGCTGAAACCCTCCCTGCCCTCAGATAACCTAAAGCCCAAGCACTTAAGCACTGCCGTGCGCAGGTTCCAACACCCAGGGGTGAGGAGTGGTGGCTGGTGTTGGCCTCACCGTGTCCTTGACTTGACTTGTGTTGCATAGGTGATCTCCTTCTCCTCCCAGATGTCCTCCTCCTCCTCGTTGTCATCGAACTGCTGGATGCGCTCGTTGCAGCAGGCCTCGAACAGGGAGGCGTTGGGCTGGGGAGGCAAAACAAAGTCCAGACATTCCTTGCAGGATTTGAAGACTAAAAGTTTAAGACTAAGGAAAACCAAGTCTTGGTACTGACAAAGCCAAGCTCTGCTCAGGAGCTGAGTCTGAAATCACCTGACACTGTGCAGCTGCTGCTGTGGGTTGGGGCAATGCAGGGAAAGGACAGACACGGCCTGGCAAAGTTTGCACCCAAACATCCCTCGGCACTCTCTGGCATTCCCTGATCTGTGGCTGGAATGACTGTCAAAGGCTGGGAGAGCTGGGGGTGCTCACCTGGAGGAGAGAAGCTCCAGGGAGACCTCAGAGCCCCTTCCAGTGCCTCAAGGGGCTCCAGGAGAGCTG